GCTATGGGAGAGAACGTTCCCTTTCACAACAGGGAAATGTATGAGAAGTTGTCAGAGGCAGTTAAGTGACGATATTCACACAAACGTGGCTCTGTGTGCTGGGGGGTGGGAGGTGTGGCAGGATATGGCACAACACACGGTGGGGGGACACAGAGATGGAACAGGGATTGCCCGCACTCTGAGATGAAGTGATGCTTCTGTAGAATATGACTGACCAGACCCCATCAGGTCATTCAGGTTGCAAAAGTAGGAATCATGAAATCCCAGACTGGTTTGGGTTGGAATGGACCATCTCGTCCCATGCCGTGCCTTGGGCAGGGACACTTCCACTAGACCAGGTTGCTCCAACCTGTTCAGATCTGGAGCATAAGCCACACATGTTACTTCCAAGAGTATTTTCTATCATAAGCACTCCAGGTGGGAAAGGTGGTGGACATTTGTGAAATTCCAGGATCCCTGTGAGACTAAAGGAGGAGAGTTGGGTGTGTTGATCACAGTTTAAGTGTTGCCCACCAAGGAACGGAGTCATGAGTAAATGGAATTAAAAGCACATGGAGGGACCTGGCAGATGGGCAGAATATCCCTGCACCAGGAGTACAATCATGGAATGACATGGGGGTGGGTAAGAGCAGCAGCAGAGAAAAATTACAGAATAGTTTAGATTGGAAAAACCCTCTAGGAGCATTGAGTCCAACCATCCCCCAGAACTGCCAAGGCCACCATTAACCCATGTCCTCAGGCACAAAGGAAAAGAATGGAATGGAAAAGAATGGAGGGAAAAAGCCTTGTTCTTCTCAGTTTGTCAGAGAAGTTAACAGATACCTTTAAAGAAGAAACAGGGTGGAAGGACATTTAACAAAGGAAACTGCCCAATCAGGACAATCAGAGGAGCTGAAGGCTTCCTCTCTTTTATATTTCTTTTTTTAAGAACTTTGCAGATTTAAACCTGAAAATAAATTTGATATAAATTTCTTACAAATAGTGACCAGTAGGCAAAGTACATCTCTCCTAAATGAAACATCTCACTTTCATTGATGGAAGCTGTCCTGCCAGGCCAGCTCAACAGCAAAAGGGCATCATTCCATTGATTTGGTGGCAGGCACGACATTCCCATTGAACAGGGTTGCCCACCTAGGCTGCCCTGGGCAGAGAAAGTCACCCCCTCATGCCCCACCTGCCTGGAGCAATGTGCCCATGGGGCTGATCACAGCACATGAGCTCTGCCAGCACCCCCACCCCTGGCACAACCGTCTCCCAGGTGCAACAAGCTGTTTTTCTGCCTGGTTAGGATGGACGAGGATCAGCAGCAGGGAACAGATGTTGTAAGAGCTCCTGCACTGGGCTCAGCTGGCTGGGGAACACTAAAACCCAGCCAGGGCAGTGTCAGCAATCAGCTGACTCTGGCTGATCACTCAGGTGTACAAACTGCTTCATGCTGTAGCGACATCCTACTTCTACATTGCTTCCATTTTATCCCTGTTCCCTCCTTGTTTAGTGTAGTGCATTGACCCCGGCTGGATGCCAGGTACCCACTAAAGCCACTCTCAATCTCCTCTGCAACTGGACAGAGGAGAGAAAAAAACACCTAAGGATTCATGAGTTGAGATAAGAGCTGGCAAAGGTCACTTACTGATTACCTTCACAGGCAAAACAGACTCAAAGTGGGGATATTACTTAAATTTATCACTAACAGAATAAGAGCCAAAGAGTGAGAAATAAAACAATCTTAAAAACACCTTCCCCCC